TGTTACTGGGCCTGCTCAAGCAAATCGATGAACAAAGGGAGGACAGTGACAGTGAATAAAATGTATTTTATTATTATAAATAAATAAAAGGATCAATAAAAGGACAGCATACCAAATGGGAGAAGATATCTGCACACAATTCATTAGAAAAAGGACTAATATCCAGGATTTATAACAAAGCTGAGCAACAATGAGATCAATAATCTCATTTTAAAGCAGGGAGAGGGGATGAATAGCCACATGAAGAGGAGACATGGGTGGCCAACAAGTATATGAAAAGAATTCACCATCACTTAGTATCAGGGAGATTAAAATCAAGTGAAAATGAGGCAGTAACTTAGCATCTCACACAAGAGACATAGGCAGGTATCAAGAATATGGGGAAAACCCAGTGCAAGCAGGGATGTGATTAAGTTAAAACGAAACCTTGTTCACAGCGGGTGGGAATGTCGCCTAGTTCAGCCTGTGTGGGGGAAAGGGTGGCAATTTCTCAGACAATTAAGAATAGCACTCCCTTTTAGTCTGGAGGGATAGTGCAGCATGTAGGGTGATTGCTCTGCACACAGCCGACACAGATTTGATCCCCAACACTCCATATGGGCCACCAAACCCCACCCGGAGTGATCCCTGGGTGCAGAGCCATGCATAAGCCCTGAGCATGTGTGGGTGTGGCTCAGAAATAAAACAAGAATAACACTCCCTTTTGGACGAGAGATTCCACTTGTTGGTGGAATATGGTTTCTTGGCTCTATCCCCCCACCAGAACTTGATCACTTGACTTCCCGTTAATCGTCGATTTGCTCGAGCGGGCACCAGTAATGTCTCCGTTCGTCCCTGTTGCGTGCTAGTGTAGCCCAATGGCGTCTGTTCATTCTAGGAACACGAAGAGCCTCAAACCGATCGTTCATGATCTTGATGAAGAAGTCTAACCATCTGGTAGGTGGGTGGCCACGCGGTCTTTTGACATCCCGTGGAATCCAGTCGGTAATGGCTCTAGTCCAGCGGTCGTCTCTAAATCTCATTACGTGACCAGCCCATCTGATTTTTGACGCCTTGGCAAACGAGACAGTGACCCTGATTCTTGATCATCGACGGATGTCAGAACTCCGGATTCTTTCTCTCATTTGAGTGAAACGTGATATTCCAAGCATAGCTCTTTCTATTCTTCTTTGGGAGACCTGAATAGCATTCTCATCCTGTTTGCCTAGGGCCCAGGTCTCTGAGGCATATGTTAATGCAGGAAGAACAGTGGAATCAAAGAGATGTGCCCGGAGCCAGAGGTTCTTGTCCTCTTAGCTATTTCTTCGATGCTCTTGAAGGCGTTCCAAGCCGCTCTCTTCCTCCTGCGCAGCTCGGGTGCCAGGTCATTTGTCATGTTGACTTCTCGACCTAGGTACACATAGTTGTTGCATTCGGAGATGGTCGTTCCATTGAGAGCGAATGGGGCATCAGGAACAAGGCTGTTTCTCATAAACATTGTCTTCGTAAGACTCAGCTGTAGTCCAACCTTTCCACACTCACGGTCAAAGTCGGCCAGCATTTGTGTCACTTGGCTAATGTTTGGTGTTATTAAAACAATGTCATCAGCAAAGCAGAGGTGGTGTAGTTGCCGACCATCTATCTTCACTCCCATTCCTTCCCATTCCAGTCGTCGCATGATGTTCTCGAGGGTGGTACTGAAGAGTTTTGGTGAAATGGTATCACCCTGCCAAACCCCTCTCTTGACATCAATGATCACTTCTTTGTATATTGGTGAGATCCTGGTAGTGAATCCGTAATGCAGCTCACGGAGGATCTTGATGTATTGGGCTTGAATGCCCTGATTGGCTAGGGCTTCAATGACCGCTTCCATCTCAACAGAATCAAAGGCCTTCTTTAAATCATTGAACGTTAGACAGAGCGGCATCTTGAACTACTGAGAAACCTCAATGAGCTTGGTTATCGTGTGGATATGGTCGATGGTGCTGAATCCTTTGTGGAACCCGGCTTGCTCGCATGGTTGTCCTTCATCTAGTGTTCTGCCAATCCTATTTAGGATGACTCGAGTGAACAACTTGTAGATGACAGACAATAGGCAGATCGGGCGATAGTTGCCAATGTCATGGATGTCTCCCTTCTTGTACAGTAGTACAGTCCTGCTGGTTTTCCATTGGGACGGAACCTTGCATTCAGACAGGTAGCATGTGAAGAGCCGAGCCAGCGTATTGATGAGTACTGACGGCAGGTTCTTCAGGTGTTCAGGTCTGACCTTGTCTGGGCCGGGTGCTGTTCGTTTCTTTACTGAGGAAATGGCGTGTCAGATTTCAGAAGGGAGAACATTGGGAACGACATATCCATCCTGTGGAATTTGGTATGTCGGCAAGTGGACATGGCTATCAAAGAGATTTGAGTAGAAGTCATGGATAATCTTCTCCATTGCCGTTCTGGAAGATGTGATAGATCCATCAGGACGTCGGAGGACAGTCATCTTGGTCTTGTAGTTAGTGAAGGACAGGCGGGTGTTACGAATACTTTCCCCCCAAAACACAAAAAACATACATTTGAAAAGACATATGTACATTTATATTAATCGCAGTGCTAAGTACAATAGCCAGGATACAAGTTAATTATCCAACCCCAGACAAATAAAGAAGTTATAATATCTATCTATCTATCTATCTATCTGTATGTATATATTAATATACTCAATGGAAAACTACATAACCACAAGAAAAAATAAAATTATGCACTTTGCTTCAACATGGATGGTCCTGGAAGGCATCATTGTTAAACAAAATAAGCTAAAGGGAGATAGACATGCAGAGATGATTTCATCATCTATGGTGTATAAGGGGGTACTGGAATATAAAATCAGAGCACAGATTAGGGTGGGGAGGCAGGTGGACTGGAGATGTGTTGGGAGTGAGGAGGATCTTGGGACCTCTGGTGGTGGGTGAGATTTGGTAACTGTGCATGCCTACCAAGACCATGGATGTTAGTATTATTGTAAATGCACAACCTAAAGTATAATAGCACGGTAGCACTGTCCTCCTGTTGTTCATCAATTTGCTCAAGTGGGCCCAGTAACGTCTCCATTGTGAGACTTGTTGTTATTGTGTTTGGCATATTGAATACGCCATGGGTAGCTTGCCAGGCTTTGCTGTGCGGGTGATAGTTAAAAAAAAAAAAAAAACTTCAGAGACCAGAAAGATAGTACAGCAAGTAGTGTGCTTTTTAAAGTGGTTAATGAATGAAACCATCAATAAGAGTTGGCTTTAACACGATCCACTTACACTATATGAATTTTTTTCAGTCAGCTGTAAGGGGCAAGAAGGAAAATATTACTCTAATAGTCCTAATATTTGCTTGAGTGGGCCCAGTAACGTCTCCATTGGAGACTTTGTTGTTACTGTGTTTGGCATATCGAATATGTCACGGTGAGCTTGCCAGGCTATATTGTGAAGCTGTGTCTGAAAAACACGCCAGAATGCTCTGACCCATCCTTGGAAAACTAAGGAGAAACTTAAAAAAAATTTTTTTTATTAAATCACCGTGAGATAGTTACAAAGCTTTCATGATTGAGTTTCAGTCATACAATGATCAAACACCCATTTCTCCACCTGTGTGCATTTTCCTCCACTAATGTCCCAAGTATTCCTCCCGACACCCCCATCCCATCCCATCCCACCCCCTGCCCGACAGGAAACTAAGAAGAAACTCTTCAAATGATTTTTTTAAATTGTAGTTTATCAAAAGGACAAGGTAAAAACAAAAATTTCTTGATCTGAGGGCTGGAGAGATAGTCCAAGTGAGTATCCAGCTTTCCTTGCACGCAGCTGACCTGGGTTGGATCCTGGGCAGCTCACATGGGCCCAAGAGCTGGCCAGGAGCAATTCTTGAGCCCAGAACCAGGAGTAACCCCTGAGTATTGCCAGGTGTGACTCCCAAACCAAAACAAACAAACAAACAAATACATAAAAGCGGAGTTTCATTTCATTTCATTTCATCATCCTGTTATTCGTCGATTGCCTCGAGCAGGCCCCAGTAACGTCTCTTGGTCCAAGTATCCCATTGTAATCCGTCATCCAGGTCCTCTTGGGCTTGACTCTGCCTTGAGTGGGGCTTGCAAGGCATCTTACTAGAGAGCAGGACACTGTCAGCACCATTGACAGCAGCCTCTGTCCCAGGACTGGCTTGGGCCAAAGGGAGATGTTGAGCCTTTGGGGGAGGTGTTTAGAAGGGGGTTAAAGGGGGTTAGAATTTAAAGATTTGGCAAAACACGTCTTTAAGCTGAAATGGGCTATAGTGGAGGAGAGTTTCCGCCAATGAACACTGCAAACGTCTACGAACGGGAACTCCTCACTCCAAGTTGGTTCAGGGCATCCAAAGCAGCAGCCGTGCACACTTCTCCCTGCAGCCCTGGGACCAGCAGACAGCACTGCCTCGAGCAACCATCCTAGCACAGACCAGCTGGAGGCGCTCATAGGGCAAAAAAAACAAAAACAAAAAAAAAACCCAAAAAATTAACGGATGCGCCGCGGTCATCAAGCAAAGAACATCATCAACAACAACAACAACAAAAACTAACGGACGCGCCGCACGGGCGCGATTACCTTTGTAGCGGACACCCAGCGAGCTCCCCTTGGATCGCTCCACATCTTTCGAACTTTCTCCCAAGAAACGTGTGCACGCCTGGGACGCCAAAGGAGGAGACTGACACTTCGAGACTCCCGCACGAGGGATGGGGGGCGGGGGATAGGGCTTGGGGGGCTGGGGAGGGGGGCTTCCTAGGTCTTGGAAGGTCCATGAAAAGATATCAGAGCAGAATTATAATTCTTTTTTTAAAAAAAAAAATTACAGATCCCGTTTCTAAAATTCACTTTTAAACCTCCGGGGTCGACGCTAGTCCGCCTCCCGCGCGCACCTGGATGGGTTAGGAGGAAGCACGCCCCCCTGCGCCCCGCGCGGCCGCCTCCAGATCCCTCCCATTCCCGCGCCCCCCCGCGCCGGGCCGCGCGAATTGGGCGCTGTGCCTTTAAGGGGGCCGCCAGGAGGCTGCACCCGGGACAAAATGTCTGCGGGCATCGCCGGTCCCAGCCGCGCCGCCCGGCCCGGCTCCCGCCGCCTCCGCCGGGATGCGGTGAGTTGGGGGCGCCCCGGCGGCGGGCGCCGAGGCGGCGGCGGCGGCGGCGGCGGCGGCGCGCGCGGGTGCAGGGACAGACCCCCCCGCAGGCGAAGGCGAGCGGCGGGGCTGCTCGCGTGGGGGTCGCGAGGCCCGGCCGGGGCGTCGGGCCTAGCGCGGGAGTCGGGCCTAGCGCGCGTCTGGCCACCCGCGCCCGCTCGGTCCCGCACGCCGCGACCCTGCGGCGCCAGCTGCTAACGCGCGGGGTGGGAGGCCCGGGGGGCACCCGGAGAGCCCCCCGCCCAGGTCTCGGGGGCGATGGCTGTGTCCGGTGGATGTGGACCCGGGACCTTGCTGGAGTCGGGCCGGTACCTCAGTTTCCCGGGCGACCGGATCTCCCCCGCGCCCTGCTTAATTAAGGGTCGCCCCGGACCCCCGCCCAGCCGTGGCTTGGCGCGCGGCGACTTGGCGCATCCTAGTCCCCACTTTGGGGAGCGGAAAGCCGGTGCTCCCACCGCCACAAGCGGGGACCTTTACCCCCACCCCTCAACTCTGCGGAGCTCCAAGAATTTTCTGGCCCTTTCTAATGAGTAACGCCTCCCTTGGGTCGCGCACCTGAGGTGCGAAGTCCCTTTCCCGCCGCCAAAACGCAAACCTTGCCTGCTTCCTGGGCTTCGGGAGACACCCCTGTTAAGAGTCACTCATAAGTGGATCGCAACTGAATGATTCTTGTCTGCTCTTAGGACCTTCTTTTTTTTACTACCCCCACCCCAACATGTACATTTCTTTTTTTGGGGGGGGGACGGGAACAGGGTAGGGTCACCAAAATGAGCACGAAGGAACTGCCGGTGAAAAGAACTTGGCAGTGACAAAGGCGGGGAGCTCGAAACAAGTAACTCACAATTTAAAACGTCTTCGCGGGGGCCAGAGAATTAGTACAGTGGGTAAGGGGCTTGCTTTGCATGTGGCAGACCCGCGTGCGATCCCCCCACTCGCATCCTATGTAGTCTCCTGAAGCTCACCAGGGGTGATCCCTGAGCACAAAGCCAGAGGTAAGCCCTGAACAAAGGCAGGAGTGGATCCACCTCCCATAAGCTTTTGCCTTACCACTCATGTCAGAGTGAGGCAGTGTTTCCTCTGGATTCTATGCAATTATGCATTTTCAAGATGAAAAGGGAACCCTTTTTAGGAAGGTGTGTATTAAGTGAAGTCACACAGCAGACTGAATGAGCCACAGGTCGAATCCCAGGCAGGATTTTCCAGTGTATTAATTAGGGTGATGCTGAGCCCTTTGCGGAATGGGCAAGAGTTTGGGTTGGCCTATTTAAAGAAAATCTCAGGGTCAGATAATTAGCTCTGGGCCCAATAAAATTTTTATTTTTAATGTAAAGATGTATTATCGTTCAGGTGATATATCCACAGCCATGTTGATGTTTATGGTTTTGGGGAGCACAGTTACCGCCTCCACAGTGTCCATGACACCCCCACCCCTCTCCCACCTCAATCTGGTGGTCTCAGTTTGTACTCTGATACCCAGAGATGGCTATCAATTAATATCATTTATACCCTCGTTTTGTTTTCCTAAATACCACAGATGAGTAAGACCATCCAGTGCTTGCTTCCATCTGCCTTATTTTGTTTTTTGTTTTTTTTTGCAGGGGGGTATTATGTTTTGTTTTTTGTTTGGTGCTATACCTGGTGGTCTTATCCCTGGTTTATCCCTGGCTCTGTGCTCAGGAATAACTCTTGGTGGGGCTACAGGGACCCATATGCGTTTGATGCTGGTGATTGAATCTAGGTCAGCTACATGCCAGGGAGGACAGTATATCCTACCCACTTGTGCTGTCCCTCCATCTCTGCCTTAGTCCTATAGTGCTTGTGTAACCTTTTCAGATTTTCACAGTTTAACTTTGAGTCCCCTGTCCCAGGATCAACACATTACAGTTTGGAGACATTTTTACCTGTTTTCTAAACTTCATCTAGGCCAAAATTTCAATAGGGTGATTCCAAAGTGATTCTTCTAAATGTCTAGATCTGTTTCTTGGTCATATACTGCTATTTCGGCAAAGATGGGCAGGTAATAGAAGAACAAACTATGGTTTCTATGGCTTCCTTGATACTTCAATTATCAAGGCTATTTGTTTTCATGATTAGGTTCACTTTTGATTAAAGTTAACAGTGGATGGAATAAATGAAAATGTTCTTAGTGTTTCCACACAAGTGTGTGGGTGTCGCATTAGTGTGAATTTCTCAAATAAGATCCAGTCTCAGCCTACACATATTTTTTTATAACTCTGCCATATTAATCCTGCTATAGTAATTGGCCTTAAATTGGGGTCGAGGTGCTTTGGGATCACATCCATTAGTGCTCAGGGCTTACTTCTGGCTCTATGCTCAGGATCACTACTGGCAATTCTGGAGATAGAGGGAAGGGGAGATGCAGTGCCAGGGATTGAACTGAGATTGTCACGTGCAGGGCAAGCACCTTAAACCCTTTACTATCTTTCTGACTCATCTTTGTTTTTTGGTTTTGGGGCAACACCTGGACTCAGGACTTTCTCCTGGCTCTGTGTTCAAGCATCACTCCTAAATATGGGGAATGGAAATGACTGAATTACTGTTCTCAAAGGCTACCAGTTATGCCCAGCTGCCTCCTTTACCTGCCTCTCTTCTAGCTTTGGCTGACCTACCTCTTCACTTTTGTTAGGGTGATCAACAGGAAATGAGACCTTAGTGTTCCTTTAATAGCTTTCCCCCCCGAATAAAAGTGATGTTGTCTTTCTTTTCACAAATTTCCTGGTGATTTGATTTTGCTCTTTGCCTATTTATTCATAGTTCTCACCCACTGGGTGTATCTTGGGTTTTTTAAATTTGTCTTTTTCGTGTTCGTGCATAAAGACTCAGTGTATTAGGTTTGTGGCAGAAGAGTCTTCTGGGGCTTCTCTTCCAAGCCAAGAGGGCTGTGTAGGCGACTCCTCTCCTTCTGCATTGGAGGTGTCACTGAAATGAGCGCAGAGCTGGCTCAGTTAGGCTGTTAGGACCTGCAGCCACAGATTGCTGGTCCCCTAAACAGGAGAGTGTTGAGCCAGAAGGTGACTGATACGGAGGCCGAGAAGGTGAGGCAGCTCTGTACCATGCTGCTTTTCATTGGTTAAGACCTCCAAAACCAAAGGCAGCCAAGGCAAAGCATGTCCCTCTGCTACCTTCAGAAGGGCAGCGCTGTAATTGGCTGACATCTGTATTCCTGGACTCCGAGGAGCTGTTCCACTAAGAACTGAGATGTCCAAGTCAGTGCTTGTCACTTATTTCCACCCTGCCGCTAGTAACAGATGGCATTCCTGTGTATGTCATTCCTCTGGGCATCCCAGAGTTTGAAGAACACAGGGTCTTAAGGGAAGGAAAGCTGATAGTTAATAAATCAATAAAAGTCAGTTTATGATGATTAACTGCTATATATTTATAACTGGTTAAAACATATAGCTGATGGTTAATCAAGAAAAGTCTATTTGTGGTGATTGTTACAGTTTTCAACCTTTCTTAATCTAGTAGAAGACAACCATACGCACCATTCATAAGTGTCATACTCAGTGCCACATGATGGGAAGTTTCTCTTGTCCTTTAAAGAAATTCCTTTAACACTTTTTGCAAAACAGGTTTCAAGGCTATGAATTCCCTAAGCTGTTGCCTACCAAGAAGCTCAGTATGGTTCCTTCAAATCTGAATGATGGTCTGGCTGGATAGAGTATTCTTGGTGAGATGTTCGTTTCATTGAGCTTTTATTCAATATCCCTACATTCTATTCTGGCTCAGTCTCATTTGTCAGATCTGCTGTGAGTCTTATGAGCTTTCCTTTATTTGTAAGTTCCTTTGATCTTGCTGCTTTCAATAATCTGTCTCTTGACAAGCATGTTCCTCAAATGCCGAGTACCTAACCTTGGATTTGGTAACAAAATCATATATTGTCCTCTTGAAGTTATTTTCTAAAGAATAAACACCATGGGGCCAGAGTGATAGTACAGCAGATAGGGCATTTGCCTTCCATGCGGCTGACCCAGGTTCGATCTCTAGCATCCTATATGGTCCCCCAGCACTTCCAGGAGTAATTCCTGAGTGAAGAGCCAGAAGTAACCCCTAAGCATTGCCTGGTGTGACCCCAAAAGAAAAATAAATAAATAAACAGAATCCTTTTGTATCCCCTTTGTTTGATAAGTTATTGCAGCAGTGAAATGTTTTTCCCAATGGAGAAAACTACAATGATAGTTATTTGACTATGTTTGACTCCTTAGCCACAGATACTGTTGGACAAACCAGGAAGACATTACTGTTCTTAATTTTTCTAACTTAATTAAAAGTATTGTCCAAGCTTTGTATCTTGCAAATATGTAGAGAGAGGACTATATTGGTTTGTATGAGTAATATAGAAAGCTAATACTTTGGCTCAAGCATCTCTAAGAGGAATCAGAGAAAAAAGACAACAGAAATACATGCTCCTAGACAGGATTCCTAGTGCACAGGGTGTTGTGTTTCTAGCACTCAGACACCTGCCCTCTGAATTTATCCCTAGCACTGCTGATCCTTCTTCAGAAGTCTTGCTGCAACATTCCTCACGAAATAGTTGGGTCGTTTGGATACCTGGAGGCAGTGACAGATCAGAAGACCCTCAGGACCTAGTCCACATCTAATTAGAAGGTAAATGTATAGAAAGCTGCATTATAAAAGGCGATTTCCTAAAAGTGCATATTAAAAAAATAACTTATATCTTTTAGTACTACCAGTTTTCCCACAAGCACAATGTTTTTTAAAATTACAAAACTAAAGATTTTTTTCTTGAGAAAAAATTAAAAGCTGATCCTAGCCGGGGAGATGGTTCAGGGGCTCAGGCCTTGCATACTCTAGGCCCCAGTTTTTGTCTCCCGTACCACATAGCTATCAGGTGACTTCCTGGGAGCACTGAACTAACTGAGTTTGCTGTGGATACCCCAGAGTGGCCCCAGGTATCCTGCTAAGGCACTCCCTCCCCACTATAAAATCTGTTCACCAATGGCATTTCTGTCCCCTAAACTGGAAGGAACACATTTTTCACTCCCAGAGCTTTATTTTCTGCCCCTTGTTTCAAAGTCTGCTCTGCAACATGGAGAGAAGAATACAAAGGCGAGCCTTGCCCTTACAAGGAAAAGAGAGGAGCTTTATTTAGTGCAGAGTGGTCAAAACTAATTTGTATATGCAGGACTTACTTAGCTAGTTCTTTTCCACTTAAGAGGCTTGCCAGAGCGAGGATGTAGCACAATGAGTTAGCATTTGTTTTGTCATGTGTGTAGACCCGGGCTCTGAAAAATAAAACACTGCATCTCTAGAAGCTCGCTTCCCATTTCAGCGTAAGTACTTGTGAGCCGAAGACCTATTTGATTTCTTAAGAGAATTCTTAGTTAAGGAGAGATATGACATTTTTAACTTTCTGAAGAACCAACTGTTCATACTGCAGGAAGCAAGCCAGGATTTACTATCTGTAATCGAAGGGAGGTGTGGTTTCTTCATGGGCGAACCGTAGTCCCAGAAGCAGCGTGTTCGCAGGCTGTGCCTGTCTGTGTGCGTGGATAGTGTTGTGACTGTGCTCACCTCCTTCCTCTGTGCTTCAGTTGCAGACAGAATGAAGAGTGGTGAGCAAGCTGTGGCCATGGATGAGCCTCGCGGGCAGGAGGAGGCAGCCAGCCAGGCAACGCAGGAAGCTGGGCACCCAACTCGGAAGGACGCTGCCCCCCAGGCCCCGGGGCAGGGTGGCCTAGCTCCAGGGCCCGCCCCGATGCCTCCTGGCCAGCTGGGGGCTCCCTACTCCGAGGTCTGGGGCTACTTTCACCTGGCGCCTGCCCGCCCGGGCCTCGAGGAGGGCCCGTGGGCCACATGCCGGCTGTGCGGGGAGCAGGTGAGCCGCGGCTGGAGCTTCCAGGCGAGCACCCCCGAGCTGTGGAAGCACCTGAAGAGCGTGCACCAGCGAGAGCTGGAGAAGAGCGGCTCCCGCCTGTCGCAGCCCAGCCCGCCTGGCCCGCCGCTGCCCGCGCCGCCGCCGCCGCCGCAGCAGCCGCCGCAGCCGGGCCCGGGCCCCGCCGCCGCCGCGGCCGCCGAGGGCGAGTGGGGGCGCCTGCTGGAGCAGATGCGCGCGCTGGCCCTGCGCGGCAGCCAGCGGGAGCGGGAGCTGGCTCGGCGGGAGGCGGCCGTGGAGCAGGCCGAGCGCGCCCTGGAGCTCCGCCGCAGGGTCCTGCAGGCCGAGGAGTGCGCGGCCGACCTGGCGCGGCGGGAGCTGCTGGCCGAGGAGCGAGTGGCAGAAATGGTGCGGCGGGAGCTGCAGGCCGACCGCGAGCTGCTGCAGGCTCGGCTGCGGGAAGTGAGCCGCCGCGAGTGCGCCCTGGCGCTGGCCGCCGACCCGAAGCTGGCCGCCTTCAAAGAAGAGCCCGAGAGCGAGGGGGACGGCTATCTCATCACTAAGGTCTCCCTGTAGGGCTCCCGCCGGCCCCTCGGCGGGACCCACAGTCCTCAAGAAGCCGGGCCAGAGCCAAAGATCGCTTCCCCGCGGGGGGTCCCCCAGTCCTCCCCTGCCACCACGCGTGCCATCACGGGCCTCTTTGGCCTCGGGCCTTACTAGGCATTGGATGGAAGGGGGTTCCTTGGATGCCCGAGAGTTGCAGTCCACCGATCTTACAGTGCACAGAATCCGACCCCTTTACCGACGACTTTCAGAGCACAGGAACTGCTCTCCAACCAGCCAGGACCGAAACTCTCGAGGAGAAAAAGTGACTCTGCCCAGTGAGTCTCTGATGAGTCGTCTTTGCCCAGGCGCTAAAAAGACGGCGGAGGGGCGCATTTGTTTCCTTGTTTACCCCCTCCCCACCCCGGCCCCATTGGGCAGTCCCGAAGCACCCCTTGGAGTACCCTTCTCCAACTTGTCAGACTATCCTATGCGTCCTCACCTCCATTTTGTTTCATACCCATAGTTTTCTGCCTTAAACTCCTGACTCAGGTTAGAAATACTTCTCATCGAAACTTCCCAGTTATCCCAAATGCCTTTTTATGTTTCTAAAAAGCAGCACCCAAACAAGATTTATATATTACTTTTGATAGCGCTTTCGCGTCTGATAGTGCCTTACTATTTCTTAGATGACATTTGCCTTAGATGCTCTTCTGGATCTGTTTGGTTCCTTAAGCCAGTTTCCACTTTCACTCTTGGCTCTCCCTGTAGAGCCACAATCTCCGTGCCAGTGAGTCCTGATGACCTCTCCAGGTCAGTCCTTCCTGTCCTGCCCCCTGCTTCGTGGCTTCCCTCCCTGCACGACCACTCAGGACAGAGGGAAGTTGCCCATCAATGCTGCACACCCCCAGCCAATAACTTACATTGATTGGGCCCTTAAAAGGTACCAGGTGCACACTATGTGCATCCACATTTCATCACCCGTCCTCTCAGCAGCTGCCTGGGGAGCTTCATAACATGTACCTCTAAAGCTAAGGAAACCAAGAGAGGGCCTTAGGAGTTAGTGTAAGCACAAGCTACTTGATCCAGCTAGGTACCAAACTAAGTTGCAGAACTTGGAAGTCCAGTCACCACCTCCAGGAGCCATGTTGCTGCCACCTGTCCTTGTTCCTTAGTTCCAGGATGGTACTTGGTTCTATGTAATGACATGTCCTCAGGAGTCTGCACGAACCAGGGCTGGCTGCATGCTCCACAGGAGCAGCGGCCTGCTACACAGCCTCCTCATGACAGAAGGGCTATTGTGATGGTTTTGTAGAGGGCGAGACAGGCTCATGGTTGCTGAGGCCTGTTTTCCCCATCACACAGCTAAGAGAACAGCTTTCAGCTCCAGTTCTACTGAGTCTTAGGACATCCACTTCCTCCTGATGCTACCACCTGCCATGCCTGGAACCTATGAAGCACTCATTTGGAGCTCATCTTCCCAAACTTATTTTCCCCCCACTATCTGTTACCTGGCATTCAGTCTGACCAAAGGAACTGCCCTAATCCAATGCCAGTTATATCACCTTCCCTTTCACGAGAGCCGCAGCGATTCCCATCACCTATGAGCCTCACCTTGGTGGCCTGACATTGACATTCCAGTCTCCTACCTTGCCCGACTCTCCGTCAATGGTGTGGTTCTGCCACAACATCCTTTTCTGCCTACGTGCCTTGGTCTTAGAATGGGCACATCTCTGCTTGACTTCCCTCCACCAAAAAGCTCCTTCAATCTGAGAAGGAAAATTTCCACTTTTCTTATCTATGTTTAAGCTCAACTGCATTAAATGTTTGGGTTCTCTTCCTTCGGAGGCGATGCCTTCCTTCTTTGAATAATCATAGCACGTTCTATCCCACAAGCCTTACAGTAAGGCTAGGTGGGTTCTTGTCTTACCTCCTTGGCAAGGCCTAGAGCCTTGAGGTTAAGGATGAAGTTCCTATTCTACACCTACAGTACCCTGTATGTAATAGTTATTTAATAAATATTTGATGCATTGAACCCATACTATGTTTTAAGATATTTCTGAGTTTTTTTAAATAGTGATTGTTAATATGATCGTTAATTTGTCTTTAAGTCATAGGGTTGATAAAAATATCTTACAAAGAAATAGTAACAATTGAAAGCTCTTTAGTCAGGATTTCATTACTCTGTTTCAATTATTAGGCTGTTTGATTTGAAGCTAATCAGCTATCATAGCATATTATCATCATGAATGTTTACCTAAAACTAATTTTTTGTTTCATTATACAAGTGTCACAAATGCAGCCTAGGGAGGATAGCAGAGAAAATGATCAATTCCTCTTATCTCAGTATAAATACTATTAGCAACCTAATGTATTTTATTATTTTGTCTTTTGTAAATACATTACATAAATCATCTAATCATAGCATTTTATTTCTCTTTAAATACTGAAATTTCATTGGGTTTATAAGTTGGACTATAAGATCTGCATTAGGAGAATTTTAGAATAAGAAAAAAGCTACAGGGGCTAGAGTGATAATACAGTGGGGAGGGTGCTTGCCTTGCATGGGGGCTACCCGGGTTTGATCCCCAGCATCCTATATGGTACCCTGAGCTAGCCAGGAGTGATCTCTGTGTGCAGAGCCAAGATTAAGGTCCTGAGCACTGTTGGGTAAAGTCCCAAAACCAATAATGACAAAACTACAACATTTGTAGTACATCAATTGCTACAATTGCTAGTCATTACAATAAAGCAAAGATTTAAAATCTTAACTTCCCACAAAAAAAGAAATGGGGGTCCCAATAGTCTGTTCCAGGGACACAGTGTTAGGCGAGCGTGAATGGTTGCTGAGTGCTGATTGTGGGAGTTAAAGGGAAAAAATTTAATTACTGTTTACAAACACATCTGCACTAGTCATTTTTATGACATTTTTTTATGAGTGACTTCAGTAAGTTATTCCCATTTTACAGATAAAAAAATTCACCATTAGCATTCAGCCTCCTTCATTAAAAACTCCAACACAACACTAGATATGGCCCCATTTAAGAAAAGCATAGGGGAAAAACAGCCCTTGGGAGGTGACTTAGTGGCTAAAAGCATGTGCCTTTCGAACGTTGAGTGGTGAGTTTGATCCCAGGTGCTGTCCACATGCATCATGTGTGGTCCCTTCACCTCTGCAGCCTGGGGGTCCCTGGCACTAGTAAGAGAATGTGCAAGATTCAGAGCACATCCAGGTGTGGTAAGCTGCAAAAACAAAGGCTGCCCCCAGTAAGCACTGCAGTCAAATACAAGCAGGGTAGCCAGGAGTACAGCCCCGGAGAGCAAGCGCGAACATCCCTGCAACCCCAGTGCATACAAGCAGCATGTGTGCAAACACCATAACTAGTGGGACTCCAGGTGCAAACCCCACACCTGAAGTGTGGGAGCACCACAGTCAACAGCAGCAACCAAGGGAAGGTAGATATAGCTAAATCGTTTTTAGCATAGCCTTGTTCAGTCCTTTCTATTTGACAGAGGGAAAATTGAGCCCCAAAGTGCCATTTTCACTCAGAAGGAAGTGACTCTGGCAGCTCCCGTGGTGCAGCACAGCACTATCAAGACCAGCCAGCTAAGCTGTCACCTTGTCAGCAAGCAGTGGGGATTTGCGAGTGCAAACATGGGGCCCCAGGGGTTGTGCCTGCCTTTCTGGCTGTGGCACAGCCCCCTAACGGAGTCAGCACTGTCCATGTGATGGTGACATGTCTTGCCTACACTGATTGACATGACTGAGCTTGCTGCTGGCACCACCGGTGTGCTGCCTCCAAGAGCAGGACATCCAAGAGCAGGACAGGCTGGAATGGGGGAGGGGAGGGGCTAAATTGGGAAGAAGCTGTGGCCTAATCCCAAATCCTCTTGAAAAGTGTTGGGTCTTTATGATTAGTAGCATTCTGATCTAGCGAATTCAGGGCCTTCCACATGCAAAGCAAGCACTCCTCCAGTGGCCCCTGGCAGGTCACTTCCTTAAGCTGAATTATGTCAGGGAGAAGGGATGTGGGAAAAGCCCAGAAAGGCCTTCTGAGCTTGAAACAGCCAAGATCTTTCAGGATCCTAAATCACTGTCATTGAGAGGGTGTGACTTTGGTCTGAGTTTGTACTATAATCTCTATCAGTGACTCTTTCTTGTCTCAGAGGTATAAAGATATCAGACTTTGGTTTTGCCTTGCTACCTGCCTTGCTAAAGAATTCTCTTTCTAGAAATACAAATAGCCAAAAGGTACATTAAAAAAAATTCTCTACATCACTAATCATCAGAGAGATGCAAATCAAAACAACAATAAGATATTATCTTACACCATAGAGACTGGCACACATCAAAAAGAACAAGAACAACCAGTGCTGACATGGATGCAGGGAGAAAGGAACTCTCTTTCATTGTTGGTGGGAATACTGACTGTTCACCCTTTCTAGAAAACAATATGTGAATTCCGAAAAGAAACTAGAAATTGAGCGTCCATACAATCTAGCAATACCTCTTCTGGGAATATATCCTGGGAGTGCTAAAAAGCACAGTAGAAATGACATCTGCACCTACATGTTCATCGCGGCAGTGTTGACAATAGCCAGAATCTGGAAACAACCCAAGTGCCCGAGAACAGATGGCCAGTTAAAGAAACCTTGGTATATCTACACACTGGAACACTATGCAGCTGTTAGAAAAGATGAAATCACAAACTTTGCTTATAAGTGGATGGACATGGAGAGGATCATGCTAGGTGAAATGAGTCAGAAAGAGAGGGACATAGAATGACTGCACTCATTTGTGGAATATAAAATAACATAATATGAGATTAATACCCAAGGACAGTAGACACAAGGGCAAAGAAGACTGCTCCATGGTTGGAAGCCTGCCTCATGGGCTGGGGGAGAAGGCAGCTGGGATAGAGAAGGGATCACAAAATCAATGATGGTTGGAGGGATCGCTTGGGTTGGGAGATGTGTGCTTAAAGTAAAGGACCAAACATGATGGCCTCTCAGTATCTGCATTGCAAACCATAATGCCCAAGAGTAGAGAGTAAGAAGAAAATTGTCTGTCA